TCTCTCTCTCTCTCTCTCTCTCTCTCTCTTTCTCTCTAAAAAAGGACGAGATACAGAAATAATTGAGGACTTTCTTTGACGGATGATATGCATCAGAAAAGTTTTTATACTAGTATATTAGTTAGTTAGTATACTTATATTACATAAGATTGCAAAGCATCGATTATAAATATACAAAATATGTATAAATAACGAAATTTACAATTACATAAAATAATTTATCATAGAAATTCTATCAAATAAATCACTCATTGCTAAAAATGTCTTCTCTATTCTGGATGACGTAAAAGATGATTGAAAATATCGCGAATGTGATTATGCTGTGTAATAGATTTGATTGAATTTCAATATATTTATTTTACGACATAATTTATACTATGAAATGCCATATGATTAAATTGACATTTATGTAATTACTCATCAATGTGTTCGTACATGCATCCTAGATGCACTCTGTGCTTGCTAAGATACTAGGAAAACGTAGGTATATATCATTGGCATTTGTCACGTTCGGCTGACACATTCGCATCTGACATTATCCGCGGTGTTCGTAGTTGCCATTTTATTCAATCAAGAGTCAAGTCGACATCCGCGTCTAATCATTCTCCTTTCAATCGTAAGTCATTTTTTATCCTAGAATTTGACGGCGAGCATATAAATCTGCTAATATTGCAGCCAGGAGAGCAGGGCTAGTTTAAAATAAAACAAAAAAATTGTCTGAAAATTCTAAGTAGACTACAGGCTGCTTTGCAACACATGATTTCCATTGTAAACTAGTCGCTCGCGGCAGCGCGAGCCACTCGTATCTTATTTTAAAGTAGAACCAATCTTCTTGTTAGCTTTATTTTCCTCTGTCGCGTGCTATTGCCGGTGGAAGAGGGCGAGGGAAAGAGAGAAAGAGAGACCGGTCTAGGAAAAGTCCGGTCATTGACGAAGTGCTCATAAATATGTCGGAACACTGAGCACAAGCCCGATGGTAGCCAACGTGTCTACCGTGCAATAACCACTGTAAGCTGCGAGTGCGTTAGTCGACGACGACGACGACGACGGCGACGGCGACGGCGATGACGAGGAATGGCGGCAGTGCGCGCCGCTGTTCGAGCTGCACGATGCAGGCTACCAAACCGGAAATGCATCGTTGAGGGAGGGAAGGGGGATACTGTACGAGTGGCCAGAGGCTGTACCACACACCGCACACGACACACCAAGCGCTTTAAGCCGCATCTACACGGCTCGCTCTCCTGACAGTATGACAAATTCATCTTTACACACGACTGAGCACGAAGCAAAGAATGGCTCTTCTATTTTTCTAATCCCTTATTGTAGAGGATAGGTTTTTATTTCGAAACAGTATTTATACGTTTGCTTTTTCGGAATGGATAAATTTATTCTAGATCATCGCAAAAAAATTAAGCGTGCAAATTTGCCTTTGCACATAAATTACCACAATCGTGTCACATCTGAGCGTTTTTGTATGCAGATATTGTTTGCACTTTACTCTCGCCTTTCATGAATGATTCATCGGGAATTATTCTTAAAACTGATTCATGTAAATCCGTTTCTATAGACGACTTAGCACCAGCAAGTTGGCACAATCACGTCATAGCTCGACAAAGAAGTAGAGAATGTGTCTATTTCTTATTTCTTTCGTTCGCAGCGACGTGTCCGAGTCCACATTTTAAAGATTTATTTCAAATATTAGTTGTGACACTATTGTGTTCACTTAATGGTGCTAAGACGTTAATGTTAAACTTATGCGATATTCAGTTTTGAAGATCATCCCC